AATTTTTTTGGAAAAAAAAAAAAAAAAAACAGAAAAAATTTGGCCACCAAATATTTTGGTAGCCAAATACATAGTTGGAATTATTTGGCTACTAATAATTTAGTAGCAAAAACATTTGGCGACTAAAACATTTGGTAGCAAAAAGTAATGAATAGTTGGTTAAAATTTTCATGTAGAACTTTTAGTGACTAAAAAATTAGTAGCCGAAATGTCACTATTGCTGACTAAGTATGGATTCGTAGCCAAATGTTAACTCTCGGTGACTAATTCTTTCGTAGCAAAAAGTAACACATTCGTCGACCAAATGAATGTTAGTAGCCAAAAGTCACATTCGGCGACTAATACTTTAGTGGCAGAAACATCCCTTTTCCCGACTAAACTAAGATTAGTAGCCAAATGTGTACACTTTCGGCGACCAAATAAATTTTAGTCGCCAATACTATCGCCTACAGGGTAAAGGCGACGAGTTTAGCGACAAAAAATTTTGGTCGCTAAATGGTTTCGGCGACCAAATTTTGGACTTTTGGCGACCAATATTTTGGTAGCCAAAAGTGACATTTCTTGTAGTGTCATCTTCTCTCTTTATCTAAAAGCATCAGATCAGACATAGATAAAGTTTGTCTACTCTCCTTATCCATATAAATGCTAATCATCATTTCATGTGCCTAGGTTTTCTTCATCTTTCTCCTACTAATCAATCAATAATTCATTTGTGTTGTTTGCTATAAAAACTACACTGTAGAAGAAAAATAGTTACACTCAATATCTTTTATATTTGCATACATAACACACACACGCACACACATATATGTGTGTGTGTGGGTGTTGATTTTTTACCACACAACCAAACAAGGAACTTAGTTAGAGAGAACGCGGTATAATATATTAAGCCAACCACCTGCCAACAAGAAGATGAGAATACCACGGTGGTCATACACTCGGGGGCATTCCGATGATCAAGTCAGTCAACTCATCTCTCAAAGATATCAAATAAGTACTCAATGCACAAGTCAAAGCATCACAAATAAAAGTATACCTTAAACCCACGTTGTGCCTCACTTTTATAATGATCAATGTCCAATTTTTCTAGAAGTCTTACTTCATGGGACTATCCTTTATAAGGATAACATCTATCACAACTCACACTACTTAGATTAGGATGAACTTCCTTAAAAGTCCAATCTCTATCCAAATAGGTAGTTTGATGTCATCTAGGACTCTTGTCCTCTGTCCAAATATCTCGGATTCAAATATGATTACATCATATCTCGGCGACTTGATCCATCCACGTGGCACCTAGGCTAACAACATTGGCCACATGGACAACCCAAAAAATGTCCCCACAAACTGCCCCTAGGTTCTATTACCTCGGCAACATGAGGTGATGGAACCTATATTGTCTAATCTTCTAACATTTAGCTAAACAACATGCTAAAGATACTCTTCCGACCGAGATTATGACTCGTCAGCGTCAGCAAACAAGGATTCAAGTGTCTTCTTTCATCCAAGATCAACATCTCAACCGAGATCGCACTACTAGCTGAGATCTTGACTCGCTAGTTCAAGAACATCAAGATTCGAAATCTGTCATCTCAAAACAAACTCAACTATCATACTAACATCATGACGTGTCACCTCCTCATTGATCATATTGTCTCCAACTCAATCTCCTTGTTTGATGTTAGCCATCTATTCTTACTAAGTTCCCACAAACGGCGCCGAATTGGGAGTGCTGATTTTTGACCACACAATCAAATAGGAAACTTAGCTGGAGAACACACGGCATAATAGATTAAGCTAACCGCCTGCCAACAAGAAGATGGGAATACTGCGGTGGTTCATCCACCTAGGGGCACTTCGACGATCAAGTCAGTCAACTTATCTCTCAAAGATATCAAATAAGTACTCAATGCACAAATCAAAGCATCACAAATAAAAGCATACCTTAAACCCACGAGGTGCCTCACTTTTATAATAATCAATGTCCAACTTTCCTAAAAGTCTCACTTCATGGGACTATCCTTTATAAGGATAACATTTATCACAACTCACACTATTCAGATTAAGATGAATTTCCTCAATAGTCCAATCTCTATCCAAGAGTCCAATTTCCTCAAGAGTCATCTAGAACTCGTCTTCTGTCCAAATATCTCGGATTCAAATATGATCACATCATATCTCGGTGACTTCGTCCATCCACGTGGCACGTAGGTTAACAACATTGGCCATGTGGTCAACCCAAAAAATATGTCCCCACAATACATATGGGCAATTTTCATTATTTGCGCAGATTTTCACATGTCTTGCAAATTGTTACTTAACTTCGTTTCAGAATTCACGAGTTTGCATAGAGTTGTCATAAAGTTGCTTGAGCGTTCTTCGTCGCTGAGTTTAATGCACCACCTGCTTGCTTTGCTTGAAAAATAGTGATATAAGAAGGAAAATAGTAAAATCTGCTTTGTTTTTTGTTTGGCTGTTGTTTCCCATGCTTTTGTTTGTTCAATCTTTTTACTACACAAATTATGGAATGATAAATTTCCTAGCTAAGTTTGACAATCCGCAAGAATGTTCAGTCAAAATATCTAAAAAAACAAATTTGGGTTGTTATGTGTAAGAAAAGTAACTTGCCTAATGCACACATTTTAGTTAACTGCAAATCAAATGATGGCAAAAAAAAAAAAAAAATTCAAAATTCATTCTGTTAAAAAAATGACCCTCTTTCATTATTTACGAAAGAGCAAAATCAAAACGCAGATCATAAAATATTAAAATTTGAAAATCCAATGAAGAGAAAACTCATCTCTCTTGCATGTAAAGATTTAAGTTCCATCTTAACTGTTGTGTATTTGAATTGTTCGTTCATCTCTACCTGTAACATTTTGATCAACTTCTTGTGTAAAGATTTCGTGGCTCGAAAACGCAAACTTTTATGATTTTAATAATAATTTTTTTTTAACAAGTGTATATGTTAAGAAAACTTTTTAAAGAAAATGTACATTATGCATAAAAATACATATAAATAAAAAAAAAAAATGTACAACTCGTGACAACATTGTATTAAGCCAGTAAAAATTACGAAACGTTATCTTTTTGTACAACTCATGACAACATTGTGATAACTAAGCTTTTAGTTTCTTCCAAATAAACATACAGTAATCAAATTTTCATCGTAATTAGAATCTCTAATTTATAAAATTTTCATCTTAATTAAATTCATACAATAAAATATATTATTAATGAATATTAAAAATAGTAGAGGCAAAAGTTTTTTTTGAAGTCCAATAGAGTACATTTAAAAAGTAAGTGTGTTTGGTTTGAGTTTTTTTAATTAAGTTTTTTGATTTTCGTATTTTTTTGTTTTTAGTGAATGTTTTTAAAATTTTAAACATTTTTTTACTTTTTTAGATGCACTTTACTTAGATATTTCTAAAAAGTAAAAAATTTGTGAAAAAATATTTTTAAAAATTAATAAATACATAAAAATATAAAAAATGTATTGAATTTTTGCATTTTTTTATATTTTTGGTATTTAGTGAATTTTTAAAAGGTTTTTTTTAATTTTTTTTTTACTTTTTAGGTATATATAAGTTAGGTATGTCTAAAAATTAAAAAAATTACTCAAAATATTAAAAAAATTCAGTAAAAACAAAAAAATACGAAAAATAAGAAAATAAAATTTTTTGAAAAGTATTTTTAAAAAATGATAACCAAACATGCTGATAATTTTAATTTGATTTTCACTTGTCAAAATCAATTCACGTGCATGGCACATGCACTATCACTAGCATTTTATAAATGAGCGAACTAGAAGACGGGGTTAGGCTAAAACATTTTATCTCAAGTGCAACTCGAATATTAAAGGGGAACTTACTGATAAGTTTCATGTACTAAGTTCAAAACTCAGCTAATCTCAAAACAAAATACTTGCACAAATTAGTCCAATACATTTTTAATTGTTACCAAAAAATCTTTTTTTTTTTTAATTTACAGACACTATTCACATTTTACTACCGTCGGACTTCCGTCAAACGGTCGCCGAAAACTCGTCGGAATGTTCAACATCGCCGGAGACTCGTCGAAATGTTTAAAACATGCTATGAAACTTTAAAATTTTACAGTTCTAAAAAATGTTATAAAACTGCAAAATTTTACAGTTTTAAACCATGATTCATTCCAGCACCAAAAAAAAAAAATTTGAAACTGCAAAATTTTACAGTTTTCACCGCCTGTAACTAAAACTCGAAAATTACTTGTTCAGAATTCGAAAATTTTCTCATTACAAATCTGTGTGATATCTGTACAAATCTGAGTCATTACAGATCTGTTTCAATGATATTATAGATCTATTTCATCATCAACAACAACAACCATAGATCAACAACTATCCCAAAAAAAATCTGTAAATAGAGAGAGAAAGAGAGAGAAATTGACAAAGATATATACACAAATCTGTTCAATCTAAGCACAGATCTGAGGATGAGCGTCTTCTTATTCTTGTTCTTCATCGTCTTCTTGTTCTTGTTCTTATTCTTCATCGCCTTCTTGTTTGACTTTAAGACTGAGATTAGGGTTAGAGGAGGAGGCGTAAAGAGGGAAGCAAAGAGCAGAGAGAGAGAGGGGAAAGGACTTTTGGGTGAACTCAAAAAGTTATGGGATTAAATGGTGTCCACATGTTCCACATGGGACCTATGGGTAATTTCCCCAATATTAAATAGGTACAAAATCTTAATTTAATCCAATCCTAATTTAATCCAATCCCATAAATAAATATTTTTTTCCAAATTCAAAAAATAACAAACTGGACTAGGGGTTGACTGAGCCATTAGGCCGATTGCCATCTCTTTTGAGGTACACGTTAGCAAAACCCATAAAACATAAACAGAGCATCACAATTCGGACCTGCCCCACCCGCCAATTGCCATTCCTTTGGAGTGGGTTGACCCGAAACAAGGCTTCCTGTACCGCACGTGTACAATTATGGTCCCTTCTCTCCACAGTAGAGAGCAAAACCATTTGACCCGACCCTAAACCTCTCGATCTGTGTCCTTTTCAATCTCACGATCTCTCTCTCTCTCTCTCTCAGGTAACTCTTAATTGATTAGGGTTTTTCAGTTCCCTTATTACTCATCAATATACACGTATATATAATCATGCATATATATATATATGAATCTCTCTATGTATACGTATTTGTTTGTATATGCAAATCCTAAATGTATTGTCTTTTGATCCTTTTTATTACCATGGATTAAAATCCCCAACTTTTTTTTGATCAAATTGCTTAGTTTGGTCTCTTATTCTTCATTGTTTGAGGTTTTTTTAGCTCTGTTTTGATCGAATTCAAGTGGTCTCCAGTGCCTAGGAAGGATGGATTTGATGTCTGGGTACAAGGTATTTTTTATCATTAGTTTTCTATTCAGCTTCGTTTGTTGTTATGGATTGTATTACAATTAGCTTAACAAACATCTAAGGCCATGTTTGGGAACCTTTTAGCCAAAAAGTCAAAAAGTTATTAAATTAGCCAAAAAGCCAACAACCCATACAAAAGGTTAAAAGATTCTCTTTTTTCTCCACTTTTTGCACATCCAAAAAGTCATCCCAAACATACTAGTTTTTTTTAGCTCATATTTTAGCCAAATAACCAAAAAGTTACTAAATTAGCCTGTTTCCAAATGAGGCCTTGATATTTACTGTGATGGGAAGTGCCATTTTTGACTAATCTTATGCTCACATGTGATTAAAATTCAGAATCGCGTACAAGGGGTTGTTGGGCTTGTATTTGGAAACGAGAATTCTGCTTCAAGTGAAGATAGGTAAAATGATTTATGTATGTTCATAGCTATTGTTGTAGTGGAGGGTTTTGTTTTTTTGAAAATGACATGAAATGGTTATGCAATGCACACCTTAATGCTTCATCTTTTTTAATTTTCATCAAATTTAAATTTGATGATTTCTCAATTTAATGAAAAAAATGACTCCCTAGATTTGATGAACATTTGGTGAAGGGATCGGAGATGATTTTTGTGTACAAGAAAAGGTGAAGGATTGCAGATGCTCTTATAATGGATTGGCCATATTTCATATTGTCCGACACCATGTACTTAAAAAAATTGTTTTTTGTCATAGAATTTGTAAAAGGGAAAATCTTTCACTAACTCTGCTCTTTCAAAAATTGAGGGGATTGGAGTTATAACTTGCAACACCCTCTAGCAATACACTATGATTTTATTTAGTTATTAAATTCATTTTATCAAAAGAAAAAGAATGTTAGAAAGAATTTTGGGTTTTGGTTGTAGTATTTGTTGTTGGCTGTTGTTGGAGTCATTCTATCCCAACCTCAATTAGGGTCTGTTTGATTAAGAGTGAAAAATATGATGAAAAAGTGAAAGCAATAACAAGTGAAGTGAAAGAAAGGAAAGTGAAATAATTTTTTTATTTTTTATAGTATACATTTGGTTAAGATGAAATTTTTGAAAGAAAGTTATGATAGGTAGCAACTTACATGAGAACATAAAATTTCTTGTATTTTTTTTGCAAGAAATTGAAAGTGAAGTTACCATGTTGATATGGGTTGTACAACAAAATTAATTTTCTTCCATTTTTCACCATTCTCATGCAAAACAATCTCAAGAAAAATTTCATTTTATTCTCTCTCTTTCTTACAATTTCCACCACTTTCATCATAACTAAACTCTGCCTTAAAGACTCAAATGATGAATCAGTCAAACTCTTAAAGGGCATTCATTTATATTGCTGTCACTAATGATGTGCCTTCATCATTGGCATGGATCATTTTATTATGTCCTGCTCCAAATTGTTGCAGACTATTATTTGGTTTTAACAAAGCCGTTGAACCGTTTGTCCATTTACTCAACACAATGTGCCGTTGTTTCTTTTCAATTTCTAATATTTTTCTTGCCAAAATTGGATTCACTGCTGTTGTTGATCTGCTTCATGGCTTGTTGCAACAGCTATGTTGAACGCTTGCTTGACCGTATAAGTAATGGTGTCCTGTCGGAGGACCGGAGGACTGCTATTGCTGAACTTCAATCTGTTGTAGCAGAAAGTCGTGCTGCCCAGCTAGATTTTGGGGCAATGGGTTAGTAATTCTCTTTTGTTGCATGTGGTGCCATATTTTTGGAGCATGTGCCAATGTAAAATAAAATCCATTCACTGCGGTTGCAGGCTTTCCAGTACTTTTAAGTGTCTTGAAGGAAGAGCGAGATGATGTTGAAATGGTTTGAAAGCTTCCCCCATCGGTCAATTGATTTTAATTTCCCTTGTTATATTTTGGTTTACTTAATTTGAGAAATACAATTTTCTACGTCCTATTCAAATGATGGTCTAACTAGTAACATTATCGAAATTGATAAATAAGTTATAAAGAAAACCAACTATTGAGAATGGAAATATTATATGTAGTAATAGTAATGGAACACTAAATTTGGCATTTCTTTCTTTCCATACATATATATATATATATATTAGAAAGTCAAGGTTTCACATGAAGACTAAAAGCTTAAAGATAGAGTTTATACCTATTTTTTAGCACATTTTGTTTAAAAAATAGCTGTCTAGTTTTATATCAGATGGTGTTGCTGATGGAAACTGATTTAGTCTTTTCCATTTTTCTACTTTTGTGTACTCACATAGTGCCTGCCTCCTTTTATTGCTTGAAGGTTCGTGGTGCTCTAGAAACTCTTGTGAGTGCCTTGACTCCAATTGATCATGCTAAAGGGTCAAAGAATGAGGTTCAACCAGCTTTAATGAACACTGATTTGCTTTCTAGAGAAGCAGAGAGCATTTCTCTTCTTCTAAGTCTGTTGGTGAGAGTTCCAAAGCTAGATTGGGAATACCTTGGAAAATTTATCTATTGAATTTGCTTTGATTATGCATAGTGTCGTACAATTTGTTGATTTCGTACCTTGGCAGTCGGAGGAGGATTTCTACATTCGTTATTACACACTTCAACTATTGACAGCTCTACTTACGAACTCTCCAAATAGGTATTCTCTTTCTGGTCACCCACTTTATGTTATATTTTATTTGTGGATTTTACTGGATTATGGTGGAGAAAAATATATTTTTTGAGTTCCTTTTCAGGTTACAAGAAGCCATTCTGACTATTCCTCGTGGAATAACTCGGCTTATGGACATGCTTATGGATCGTGAGGTAGGAAAGTTATCCTATGAGTGGTTGACTGTCTATTTTTTTTTAATCTTGATAAAGACCTCCTTAATTAGAAACTAGATAGACATGATGACATAATAAATAGAAGCTTTAATGAGCCTTGTGAATTTATTTTAGTTCCCTAATACCAAGTTCTCTTGTATACATGAGAGCTTTGTAACTGGAATTTTTTTGGGGGAATTTGGCTTCATGTAATTTCGGGGAAGGAAGAAATGTGAAATTTGTTTGGCTATAATTCGTTTCACTACTTGTACCAATGCTTCAACTAAAGGTTGTAGTTGCCACAAAAAAATAATGGTAGCTGGACCTAGCGTAATGGTTGTGGCAACGAGAGCCTTGATTTTTTATATTTTATTTTTACTTTACACAACTTCAGGAAAGCTTACTGAGACATGTTTTTATTTCCGAATCACATTTATTGGAGTTTAAAATAGTTTTTGGTGGGTTTTGTTTACTTTTTAACATGATCCTATTTATGGACTATTTTTGTATTATTCTTAAGCCTCTATGAAGCATGTTTAATAGTCATAAATTATAATTCATTAACATAAATCCCTGATGTAAGTAAGAGAAGTGGTATTCCAACCTTTGTTCAACAAATTTAACCTAAATCAAACAAGATTTAAGTCAATAATAACAAATATTCAAGAAATCAACCTCAAAACAACAATAAAAATTAAAAATAGAATGAGGTTCATCTAAACCTTGTTTGCAAGTCAAATCTTGTAAATCTTGAAGATGGGAGACTCAAATGATGTAAATGTAAGATTTTCTGCGAAGTCCGTTTTTTCTGTGAAATTTCAGTAGTGAAAAACTTAAAACATGGGGAAAACGGCCTTTTTGTAGTAAGATCTGCTGAAAAGTTCCATTACCATTATGTATTCGCCCGTTATGGTCCAAATTACCATTGTTAAGCTTACAATTTTCATTCACATGGCTCAAAATCGACCATATCAGGTGGTGGTAACCACCAATACCACTACATGCAGTGGTGACTGGCTTCTTCAATACTGGTTTTTTCTATTCTGATATTGCTGGATCCTGAAAAATCTATGGCTTACAGGTTATACGAAATGAGGCCTTGTTACTTCTCACTTACTTGACTCGTGAAGCTGAGGTGAATTATTTGCCTCTCATGGTCATTCTATTCTTTCATTCTAATGTAGTAACTCATGATCTTGTATCCCTTATAACTGATTGAAAATGCTTTGCAATTGCAGGAAATTCAAAAGATTGTGGTCTTTGAAGGTGCTTTTGAGAAGATTTTTAGTATTGTTAAAGAGGAAGGGGGTTCGGAAGGTGGTGTTGTTGTGCAGGTGATTTACTGACTTGAATTATTCATCCATATGTTGTGTTCTGTCATCTGTTGTAGCTTTTTTTGCTGATAAGCCATTTGTTACTTTGTGGCCTTATACTAGATGCAATTTTGCTATTTATGTCTCTCTTGCATAATGCACATTTTAATGCCCCATAGTTCATTTTATTTTAGAGCAATCTAGTTCTGCAAGTGAAGGTGCTTGGTGTTTAAGATGTTTTTATAAGCTTGGGTGGCTCTATATCATGGATTAATAGAACTGTATAAGTTAAACCCTAGTCATACATATTCACAATAAACTGGATGATGTTGCTTCTGTAGGTAGTGACCAATTGCACTTGTCAGAATATCCAATGTACAGTTATGCTTAGAACTTAAATTAGACATGCAGAACATATGAATTAATTTGCAGATTTTATGTTGGATGTTATAGTTTTTGAAGTTTCTCAAGTTGCTTGAGTTTGGGGAGTGAATGTTTGACTTACATTTTAGATTGAAACCCTAATGCTACATGCCTTAAGGAAAAATTTTACTCAAGTTTCTTGCTTCCCTTGGCAGGGGGTACTCGGGGTTTTCTATTTTTTTATGTTTTGGGGTGGAGGAAAAGTTCCCTGTCTCACCTTTGTTCCAAAGGCAAGTTGAGTATTCACTTCTGTGGAAGAACTAGTAGGAGGAATATAATCTTTTATCCCCTTCCCTCCCCCTATATATATATACTCTTTTAATGTCTGGTGAAGATGAAAGGGGGAGAAGTTAAGATCCTTCGTCTTACTAAAATGATGCTTGGATTTTTTTGAACCAAGTATTGGGGGATACCTGTAACAACTCTGGCAACAAGCCCCCAATGAATAATTCAACCAGTTCTCTTATTTTACCTGCTCTCTCAAAAATTACTTGTTACCTTATTGACTATCTTTGAGGAGCTGACTGGAAGTTTGGCATACGTATATACTGAAATTCTATCATCGCTACTATTTTCTCTCTTATTTATTTATATTTTTAGTTATTTTAGTTATTTATTTATTTTAGTTGATCTGCACCCTTGGAATATGTCCATAATCTGATGTAAAATATTTAATCTTCTCATTTGATTTACCGTAATTTGTTTGGAGCCTTATGTACTTAGGAGATTGTATACGACATCAATTTGAAGAACATGTATTTAAATGTGTTGGAGTCACTAACAAATAACTAGATTTGGGTATTTTTTCTCTTCCATTTTTCAGAATTCCTATTATAACTTTTATTTCCTAAATTTTCTCATTGACCCAATGCTTTTAATCATTAACTTGGTTTTTGTTGGGTGGCTTGTTGACCTGACGAATCCTCATGTATGAAACATCTGATCTTGTTTCCCTAAGAATCTGCTAGAGTCATTTAATTCTGCTTGTGTTGTCGTTTATTCATATTTAGGAGCATTAGATGTGGAATGTGAGAAAATTATCAAGGCATCAGCTTTTGCCAAAATAGTCAGTAGCTCGAAAGGGTGTACAGGACAACTGATTGAAGCATTGTTTGCATTGGAAAAAGCCTCTTTCAGTCTGAAACTTTCATCAATTATGAATATCATTGTTAATTTTGCTGACATGTGTGTCACTGGTGCAGGACTGTCTTGAATTGCTGAACAATCTCATTCATGACAATGTGTCTAATCAGGTTTGAAGACCATATGTTACTATTATTCTTTTTTCACACATTCATTTGTTCCCCACTGCTAACCATGGTGTGCACATTGCGCAGGTATTGCTAAGGGAGACTATGGGCTTTGACCCTTTGTTATCAATTTTGAAGCTCAGAGGAAATTCCTATAGTTTCACCCAACAGAAGGTTAGACACTCAGATGTTTACAACTTTGTGCACTTCCTATAGTTTTAACTGTCATATATGTGTGTAGACGGACATATATAGTTATATGCACGTAGACGTACATACATAGTTATATGTGCTATCACAGAAGCCTTACTGGCCGTTTTCTGTCATATCCAATATGTTGCCAGTAGACAATAAATCTACTCAGTGCTTTAGAGACCATCAGTTTGCTAATAAGGGGAGGTCCAGAAGCTGATCCTGGAAAAGACACCAACAGGCTGACCAATAAAACAGTCTTGGTTCAGGTTTGTTTCAAATTTGTTATATGCTCTAATGAATACCTGAAAAATTCTTTATAATTTAGTAAAGACTTTTCTCATTGGTATATTTTCTTGCTTGTAGAGAAAAATTTTGGACCATCTTTTAATGTTAGGAGTAGAAAGCCAATGGGCTCCTGTTCCTGTGCGTTGTACGGTAAGATGATCTTCTCTCTGTGTCTGTGCATGTGTGTGTGTGTGTGTGTGTGTCTGGTCTTTTTGTCCGCATTAAAGAATGCACTGTTTCTGTCTTTTTTTGTGTGACTGTGTTAAAGAATGCACTTAAATGAGATAGTGCAAGCAAACATTAGTTTGGAAGCTATGTTACTCATAGTTTATCTAACATGCTCTCTATTGGTGATGCAGATCAAGTAACCTGAATTGTGTAACTCTTTTCAAAGAATTTTAAATCTGGTCCCAGTTGGCCGGAGCTTATGACTCCCATATGGGAAGTCATGGGTTTGAACTTCAAGGGATGAACCAATGGTTAAATCCTCAATTCCTCACTCCCCCTTGAGGCTGCCCCTAGGGCTTTGGCCCAGTAATTACCTGGCAAATGTGGGATGTGGATTACATGTGCCCAGGGGATTAGTTGGGGCGAAGCCTTGGACATCTTTGGTGCCAAAAAAAGAAGAAAGATTGTTAAATATGGCAATAATTACTTATTTCTTTATTCGGCAATATTGTTTAATAGAAAGTGTATGATACAATTAATTGACAAGTAGTAAATACAGAGTTTCTTCCGAGGACGATACTTCACTGAATTTTTTTAATTTATTTTTGATTGGGGATATAGACTGTAAGTCATTCCATTATTGCAACTATGACATTCCACAAAGTAAAGGGTGCATTTATCACATACCCTTCCTGTGTGAAAATGAGGGGGATTCATAGGAATCTTCTTTTGATAATTAGAAGGAACGAAAAAATGTCGGGCTTGTTTGGTTTGTATCTCAAGATACAATTTTTGAGAAAAAGTTTTAAAATTTTGTTTGGTTCAAATTTTTTGAAAAAAATTTCCAAGATCACTTTCTCTCTCTGACACATCAATCAATCACTTTTTATCTCTTCCCTCTCTTTCTCAATCACTTTTTCTCTCACACACATCTACTCAACTACAACAAAATATCAAATCATCCCAAACTCCCAAACTATTTTCAAAATATACAACCAAACAAACCAAAAAAATTTCTAAACTCTCTCTCCAAATTTGTTTTTGAAAATTTATCTCAAAACACAAACCAAACACACCCGTCAAGTCTTTTCTTATGGTGAACTTTCAGGCACATCTAGCCTGATGCGTATACTATTCAATATAAGTATATATCTATGAACTTCTCGTTCCATCCAAATAAGGAAAGGGAGAGAGATAGAGAAGGAGAGAGTTCACTTTTAAGTGTTGCTTGAATTGGATCAACTTTTTTTTTTATTTTTACTCCTTGGACCATACCAAATGGTTTTTCCTGTTCCTTAGTATATGGCATATGTAAGGCTCATTAGTAAAGGAGTTAATTGTTTTACTGACTTTCATGAAATTTTCTGCCAGATTAAAGATTGATCAATGAGCTTTATGTTAAATTATTGCAAGAAATATAAGGAACAGTTAGTGGCAACCATTTGCTTATACACCAACACAAAGAAACTTCTTCGTGCACAAAAGTTGCCTAGCACTATAAGAAAATTTCAGGACTTCTAACATGTATGAGAGGTTTTTTTTACTTATGTCAGGCACTTAGATGCATTGGCAACCTGATTGTCAGTCATCCAAAGAATCTTGATGCCCTTGCAAGTAAAGTTCTTGGAGAGGAGCCGCAAGTAGAGCCTGCATTAAATTCTGTCCTCCGAATCATCTTGCGGACTTCTAGCATGCAGGAGTTTGTAGCAGCGGACTATGTTTTTAGGTGCTTTTGTGAGGTTGGTATGATTCCTCTGATGAGATATTCTTCATTTCTTTCTTATTTTTTTTATATTTTCTTTGAATTGTGTTTATATGGTTGATGATCCACCTTATTTAAAGCAGAAAAACCCTGATGGTCAAACAATGTTAGCATCTACATTAATCCCTCAACCGCTGCCAATGACTCATGCTCCACTTGAGGAGGATGTGAACATGTCATTTGGAAGGTCTGTTTGTCCCTGTATGCACTCCATACTGGATTTTTTTTTTTTTAAATTATTATTATTATTATTGTTATTAGCTTGGACTTGCTGCTTCTGATGATTAAATCTTTCGAAAATTTGATTGTTGCAGCATGCTATTACGTGGTCTTACTTTGAGTGAAAACGATGGTGATCTCGAGGTAACATAGTACTTAATGGTGTCTAAATCCTTTTGTCATTAAAGATGATGAACATCATGACTTTATTTCTTAGTTGAAGATCAGGATACCATCCTGCACAACTTGATGGTGTCCTGAGTCCCAAATCCTCTCTTGTGCATTCTGTGCTCAGTTATTTACATGAGTTGGCTACGAGTCAATTTGGAGCATTTGACCCTCATCTAGTGCTCTTGTGCATTTGGAAGGAGACAAATAGGAAATTTTTTAAAATCTTGAACCCTCTATTGTTAAGATGCACTTCTCTTTGCACAGGGAACTTTTCCTGGAACTTCTATTGCCACACACAACTTTCACTAAGGTCACACACCATTTTTTGTTTGGAAATGAAAGTCAATGGTTGGGAAGTTGGTCACCACACACAATAAGTTTTTCTTGTTGCTTGGTGCTTATCTATGAGAATAATCCAGCTAATATTTGAAACGCAGACTTGTTGCAGAGCTGCTAGTGTTCTGTCTCATGTACTGAAGGACAATATCCAGTGCAAGGAGAGGGTATGCTGTCTCATCTTGTTGTTTTTGGTTTCTTACTTCTAGTTATTTTTATGGTCAGATAATGTCTGGAAAAGAACTACTTCAGAAATAAGTTCATCATGATTCTATCGTCTTGTAGGGTTTACATACCCCCCTTCTTCTCTTTCTTATTGGAATGTTGAATTTACTGTAGGTTTTACGAATTGAACTAGAGCCACCTACACCATCTTTAGGAGCCCCAGAGCCGTTGTTGTACCGTATGGTGAAATACTTGGCTCTTGCTTCTTCTATGAAAAGTAAAGATGGGAAATCAAATGCATCAGGGAATACGTATGTTCAACCAATTATATTGAAACTGCTAGTCATTTGGCTTTCAGACTGCCCAAGTGCAGTGCATTGCTTCCTAGATTCACGTCCTCATCTTACATATCTGCTGGAGTTGATATCAAATTCAACCACAACGGTGTGCATAAGGGGGCTGGCATCGGTACTTTTGGGAGAATGTGTTATCTATAATAAATCAAGTGACACTGGAAAGGATGCTTTTACGATAGTTGATGCCATAACTCAGAAAATCGGGCTCGCGTCATATCTTTTAAAGTTTGAAGAGATGCAGAAAAGTGTTGTTTTTTCTTCTGCGAAACCAGCTCAGTCCCGTACACCGTTGACAAGATCCACTGCTGCTAGTATGGCAGAGATTGAAGACGTTGATGAGAATGAGGCTAGTGACCAGAAGAATGAGGATCATCCGATGCTTGCATCCATGTTTGATGCTCGGTTTGTTGACTTCATTAGAAATCTAGAGGCAAATATAAGAGAAAGCATTGTAGATGTCTATAGCAAACCAAAGAGCAAGGTGGCTGTAGTGCCAGCAGAATTGGAACAGCAGGGTGGGGAAAGTGATGGGGACTATGTCAAACGGCTGAAATTATTTGTGGAGAAGCAGTGCTCTGAGATACAGGTATGGTTGCATGGAAAAGTTTCTTTTTTCTGGATTTTATATATTATCTTTATTCATAATAAATGCAAACTTTTGACAGACCAAACAAGAGGCTGGCTTTGTGTAATTTGTTTAATGCTGTAGTGTCCAGACTCCAGAGGGTTTTTGACAAGTTATCTTTGTCTTCTGCTGTTTGTGTGGGGTTTGGATGGACCCGGAAAAAGCCTTTGAGGGACCCAAATCAGCAAGACTTACCTTGTATGAAGAGTGCCACACTTATCTTCCCCAAAGTAGTTTATCTGTTAGCTGGATAGTTATGTCTTCAGATTAATTTCTCAAGCTGATTTTTTATGATATTGGGAAGCTGCCCTTGTTGGATTTCATATTCTCATTATGTTATTGAATCTTTTTCTGTGTTCTCAACCATCATACTTGCATGCAATTGAGAGTGAGACATGTGCACGATTTCCATTTTTACAATCCTTGCAATAGATAGATCTCTGCATACCATATTTAATTTTCTTGCAATTGAGAGTGAGACATGTGCACGATTTCCATTTTTACAATCCTTGCAATAGATAGATCTCTGCATACCATATTTAATTTTCTTGTGTGTTAAATTATGTTGTCTCCCTGGGAGGGGACAACTTCATGTTCTGTGGGCCACTTTTTTCTTGCAAGTGATTCATGTTTTGGTCTCCTTCACATTGTTTCTTTTCAAAGATTGTGATGATGTTTAAAAAAATTGTTGTATTCAACTGTGATTTAGCATGAATTAGCGAGTTAGACAACAGTTGTAGCAACGAGGTTTGGAATACATGTAATCTGGTGTATTACCCATTTCCGTTCTGTTTTCTTTTTATGTATTAATTTATATATATTTTTTCTTTTTTCAAAGGACCTTCTTAGTCGTAATGCAACTTTGGCTGAAGACTTGGTCAAGATGGGTGGGGGTGGTCCATCTCCACCTGATCACAGAGCTAGTGGAGGCTCAGAAAGAGTCCAGGTGGAGACACTCCGTAGAGATCTTCAAGAGTCCTCCCAACGGCTGGAGATGCTTAAGACAGAGAAAGCCAAGATTGAATCTGAGGCTTCAATGTACCGCAATTTGGCTGAGAAGATGGAAGCTGATCTCAAGTGCTTGTCTGACGCTTACAATAGTCTTGAACAGGCAAACTACAATATGGAAAAGGAAATTAAGGCTTTAAAAAGCGGGGGAGCCACACCCCTTCCAGATGTTGAGGCAATAAAGGCCGAGGCAAGAGAAGAAGCCCAGAAGGACAGTGAAGCAGAATTGAACGATTTGCTTGTCTGCCTTGGGCAAGAGCAGAGTAAGGTAGAGAAGCTGAGCGCAAGGTTGCTGGAGTTAGGGGTAGATGTCGACATGTTACTTGAAGGCATTGGAGATGATATAGGTCTGGCTGATGATGGTGAAGAGGAAGAAGATTGATAGTCGCTTCTAGTAGCCTTGTGTTGTCATTGTGTTCTGTTCTTTCCAACACTTCCCAAATATGGCTGACCGTGCTGATGCTTTGTATAATCTTTAGTGATTTGTACAGTCTGTCACTGTTATTTATGATGTTGATAAGTTTAATTAAAATTCACAAAAGATGCTGTTGCTACAGGTTATTTTATTTTATTTTTTATTTTTTTCATGTACTTGTGTTAAGAGAACAGCCCACAAGATGGAAGATATGCTTGAACAAAAACTAGATTTTACTTGGATCTCTGTCACGGTTTAACTAGCTGATGATTTTTTTTTTTTTTTTGAGAACAAGCTGATGATTTGTTTGGTGTTAGGCAATCATATGCCTTTCTGTGTTTTCTCAAGTGGTTGGGTTAGGTGATTATCCTAGTAATCACATTATTGTGGTGGAACCAAAAAAAAAAGATATATGTTTGTGGTAATTTATTCTCTATCGTTGTATTTGGTTAAGGGATTTGAAGAGGAGTTTGAAAAAAAAAAAGGAAAAAGTATGTGAAATTACGTGAAATGTAGGTATATTTTATTTTTATTTTATCTAACTTTTCTTTTTTTCTTTTCAAATTCATTCTCAAATCTTCCAATTAAACACAACGTATAGGTACAGGAAAATACCAACATGAAAATGTAGTGTCCTAGCAAAAGAATGAATTGTTTGGCCCATCTGAATAAAGTTTTTGCACTTTGTATGCAATTGAATTGAATTTTAGTTAGAAGATTATGGCAATCATATTTGTAGAAAGTTGTCCTCCTTTTGGCTTGGGTTTGTCTCTTACAAATGACAATTTTTATTTTTGTTTTTATTGTCCACAATACACTCTTAGATTTATAATTATGTTTTCGAAATTTTTGTATTTTAAAATTTTCCATTACATTGTGCAATTGAAAATAAGATTTTCACTATATCAGTATTTCGACCAAAGTAACCCTGGCTTTCAATCCCTTGTTTTGCTTGTATTAGTATTTAAGGTAAATAGAGAGGAACATATTCATGTTTCCAAGACCTTTCACTTGTATGTTCTTATTCGTTTTAAACATTGGGTTGTTTGTTCTTTATTCCTATAATCTGTTTTTGTGATAGACTTGTCCTCAAAGTCATTTAAAAAAAAAAGAAAAAAAAAGTCATGTTCTTGTTGGTAAGTATACCCAACAAGGAAAATGACTTAGAACCCCAGCTTGGGGTGCTGGGGGTCGTCCCTGATTGGTACAAAAATATATATATTTTTTTTATTTTTTTTTTTTAAATTTCAGCCAACCACACGCTGTCACGCCACTGAAGATACCACTTGGGGTCGGAAGCAATGCCCCTCAATAACATTTTTGAGAAGACACTGGTCATTGTCAACATAAAGCATACTTTACATTGGCCATCATGATTTTATTAATATCTTGGTTCCACATGTGATTACTAGGATAATCACAAATTTTTTTTATTAATATATATTGGTAAATTATACAATTATTTTCTATAATTTAAGCAAATATTATTTTAGTTTTTATAATTTCAATTTGAACAATTTGATTCTTACACTTTTAATTTTATTATAATATGATCCTCCCGTCACTTACCGTTAAAATTTTAAATGAAAAAATATAAATTACAAAACTAATAAGACCAAAGTAAAATTAAAAAGAAAAATAATAACTACAGAGATCACTGATATTTTTATAATCTATTGTATTACATAATATATAAAAATTAAAAAATTAAATACTAAAAATAATTAAAGCATTTTTGTAGTGGTAAAAAAATAACAATCCTGAGTATTTTTTATCTTGTGTTTTTAAAATTTTTAAAAATAAGCAAAATTTATATAATTGTTCAAGTACTTCTATATTTAAAAAAATTCCATTTATTTAATATTTTTTTAAACTACTAATAGGTCCTACTATTTAGACTTAATTCTTATAAATCCTAATGAAAATAAATCTTAATAAAATTATAACTAAAAATAAATTTTTTTGACGATTTTTTACATATATCTTTAAAAATTGACAATTAGTGACTTTTTGTCACCATTTTTTTTATAAATTATCGCTAAAACTTATAATTAGTGATGTTTTTCTGTAACGAATTTTTCAAATTGTGGTTGAAAGTTGAAAATTAGTGACTTTTTTGTGGTAATTTTTTTAAACTGTTGCTAAAACTTATAATTAGTTACTTTTTTGTGACAATTTTTAAGCTATCAGTGAAAATTAACAATTACTAATATTTTTTAATAGTGTTTGATGAAAAATGTCATTAATTTTTACAAGACTTATTAAATAATAAATCCATCTTTTATGACCTATACATAAGTGTTTTTATTTATTATTAGGGAAAATTGGCCTAGGGTCCCTCCCCCACTTTTAATAATGGAAGAGATCCACAAAATTATTTTCTGATATCTAAAGTCCCTAAACATATATTAGAGAAATTTGACTCAAATGTTAAACTTGTGACATTTTCAGATTTGTTCAACATGGCGGGCCGTGTCGCGATTCGACCTCCTTTGGCAGAACCTCACCCGCCGTTTATGGATCCGACCTCTTCTGGCCGCCGCCTCGCTCTCTCCGACCGCTACCTTGCGGCCAAGTACTCTAATGGGTCCGTGCGCGTCTTCCACCTCCCCTTTGGGCTCCACCTCTTCACTTTCTTCCCTCTCCAGCGCGACGCCGCTCACACCGCATTAAGCAACTCTGCAAGATCTACAGAGACCATTACTGGTCTCTCAGAACCATTGGGGTATCAATACCAATGAAGGCTACTTTCTTTATTACATATATAATGGTTGATGGGTGGGCTGGAATTGCAAGTGAGCTTCTCAAGTTGAAGCCTTTGGTCATTTTTCACCTTAAGAACACGTTCTTGGTGAAAATTATAAGGGACAGAGAGAGGGCAATGAACCCTGGGAGTGTGGATTTTCCAGAGACTCTTCCAAGCTTTCAACTTTACTTTCTTCTAGGAATTGTATATGTTGTGGTTACTTCCATCCTTCAAACAACTCCCATTGTGCTTAGACTACCCAGAGAAATTCCGAATTTCTCCAGAGAAATTTGGTGGACGAATCTGCAAACATCAATATCAGTTCCAGAGAAATTCAAAATTTCTCTGGAGATAAATTCGGAAGTAAGAGAAATTTGGTTAAAACACATTATGAAAACACATTTGATAATGGGGAGAGTTGTTGCTGATCTCTGTGCTTTACCTTGAACCACAATTGGTGTAAGTGCAAGTATTTGAAATTTTATCTGGATCAATTTTTTAATTTTCCCTTTCTTTCTCAAATCAGAGTACAAATTTCTCTAGAAAGTCCTCATAATTTCTCTGAACCAAATTTCTCTGTGATGTGAATTTTCTCTGGACTAATTTTCTCTGGACTAATTTTCTTTGGATCAACTTGAGGGACCTTAGACATTATGAAAATATTTGGTGTCCTTTATGCTATAAAATGTTAATACCAGGAACCTTAAAAAAAAACCCCTTATTATTATTGTTGTTATTATTATCAAAGAGGCATAGTATTACCCGATAAACAACCCATGTAGTTGTATACTCATGGAGGGTAAGTGTCCAATACTTATACAACAATAGTTGTGGTGTACCTATGTTTCATAGGCGAGGAATTGGAGGCCTTTGAACAAAATTTGAAAACAAATCCAATTATAAAAAGGGCTTTGATAGAGAGCCCCTCCAATCACCACCTCCACCCCCCCTCCCATACACACACGTGGCGGGTGGTGATTGGAGGAGAAGGAAAAAACAAAAAATCTAACCAATCATATTAAAAATGGGCCAGGGGATGGGGGGAAAAGGGAGTCTGGGTCTTTTTCCTTACAAAAAACTTTGAACAAAATTAGATTGATCATTAAAACGCGGTCTAAAATCATGATTTGTAAATACTTTCTCATTATTTATAACATGATAAAAAAAATATCATTCAGAATTTTTCTTAATGATAAATATCATTCATAACTTAAAAATATTAAATAATTATTTAAAAATAATTTTATCACTATACAATAACACATTTACCAGAATAAAGGGTTACAATTTATGTATATGTAGACGGACCGACGCCCAGACCAACAGGGACCATGGCCGTAGGAGTGTAATTTTAGCCTATGGCCCGAGGTAGGCCCTGCCCGTTTAGGCCCGTTTAGGCTTGAGCCCAAGCCTAGTCCAAGGCCTTGGGCTAGGGCCATCATTTTGAAGCCCGGTCTGGTCCATGGGCCTGCTCAAGACCCGTCTAAAAGCTCGGCTCGAGCCCGTCCGACCCACCCAATGTCCAGTGTTATTTTTAATGGAAAATAATAAAATTTTGATAAAAAAAATAAAAAAAAAATGTTTAGGCCCGCCCAAAGCCCGAGCCCAGGGGCCTGGCCTGAGGTTCAGCCCGCAAGCCCGCCCAAAGCCTGAATACCCCTGGGCCTGGGCCTAGTTTTCTGGCGCGTGGGCCAGTCTGGCCAAATTTTTTGACGAAAAGCCTGCAAGGCTCAACATGGGCCTGGCCTAACCCGAGTCCAGATAAACGGGACCGGGCCGGGTGTAACAACCCTCGTCACTGTTTACCGATTAACCACTGATTACTGCTAAACTGAGACTGATTATGATTGGCAACTGAATTGATTGAAGTACTGAACTGATTGACTGAAATCTGGAACTGACTTGATTAAGTATATCTGTTCAATTGTATGTCTATCTGTTGATTGTTTGATTATCTGTTCATGCCTTTGTGTTTAAATTGCGAAATGAAAGCCTTATCGGCGGCCGAATCTGAAATTGATTGATGATTTGTGATCCTTTGAATTAATGTGATTTTATGGCATATTTAGTTAAAATGTGATTCAGTATGATTAAATTAAATTAAAGAATGTAAAACACATAGGTTGCCTTATCTACCAAATTGTCATTGTGAGTGGGCCACTACCTAGGACATCTTTGAGCCTTATTACACTCAAACAAAAACATTTCCTTAGCCCCTTTGTCCATGCTAGCCGACCAAGAGAGAGAGTTAGTGAGAGTAGTGAATTCAACATAGTGATTTGGCTTGAATCTTGAAGAATTGAAAGTTTAAGTGCATAATTGAGCCTCTAGACTTGTAATTGAGGAACCTATGTATGAATTTCATCCTCTAAATTGTGTATTTAAGCTCTATCTAGCATGGATCATGATAGTTTAATGAGCTAAGTCAAGAATTGGTTCAATAGTGTTGAATTGAAGCTTAATTATTGCATGCATGGCATACTCTTGCATTTTAGAGCTT